TAACCTCAGGGTCAGCAGTTTGAAACTGCCAGCCGTTCCGTGGGAGAAAGAGGAGGCTTTCTGCTCTTGTAAAGATTTGCAGCCTCGGAAACCCTGTGCAGGATCACTGTGAGTTGGAACTGACTCCACGGTACTTAACAACAACAACAACAACCTCCATGAGTATAGGTCAAGTTCATCAAGTGGTAGCAATTTACCCTCATTTCCTTTATCAAAATTTGTTTTGTTCCTTTTTTTAAAAAATCTTTTTCTAGTCGAATGCTGATTATCAAGCCATTGAGACTAGGTTAATCCCATTATTTTTTAATTCCATTTTTCCATGAACTTTTTGAAGTACCTCATATGGCAAGGCTATCAGTCAGATGTACTGCAAAGAGGAGAACCAGATTAAAATGATTTATTGTAAAGAAAATTTGTCACTGTATAAACAGGGTCTTTCAGGGAGCTCTGGTAGTATAGTGGTTATGAATCGGGCTGCAAACTTCAGGGTCGGCAGTTCGAAACTACCAGCTGTTCCGCAGGAGAAAGATGAGGATTTCTGCACCCTCCCATAAAGATTTACAGCCTCGGAAACCCTGTACAGGGTCGCTATGAGTCAGAACTGACTCCATGGCACATAAGCACCACCACCAAATAGGGTCTTTCAGGATAGGATATGATGCTATTCCTTTAAATTCTTAAGAATTTTAACCTGGTTCTGAAAATAAAGAGAAATAGTGTTTAGCCCTGTGGTTACCAAGAGGGTAGTTTGGAGTCTTACCTGTGATGATCTGGTGATGGCAGATCAGCTATGTGGCTCTCTCACACCCTGGCTGACTGTGCTGGCAGCTCTCCAGACCCCTGCTGTCAGACCTGACAGAACTCACTTTGTGCTTCTCATATGACATGCATAGTGCTAACCACAGGCTCCCTGAGTGGTACCCCTAAAATTGTGGGGGTTTTAAAAGTCTCTGTGACAAACTAAGCCAGAATGATTTATTACCTTGGTCCTTTCACAGAATATCATATCAAAGTATGCAGTACTTTAAAAAAATGCCTAATATTCTTTCACATAACAATATTTATAACACAGCTTGATAAGAAGCGGGAGTGGGAAATGATGTGCAGAGTGAAGCCAGATGTTGTCAAAGACAAAGAATCAGAGAGAAATCTTCAGAGGATTGCAACGAGGTAAGACAGTGTTTTTGCCCTTAAAAAATAAGTATACTAAAGCTTTGATCGTGATCTGTTTCTGACCAGATTTAATTTTTAAGTCGGCCTTCTAGGGGCCAAGTGATTTATATTTAAGTCTGCCTAGTCAGTACTGTATTCATCCAAAGATTTTCTAGATCTCATGAGGTAAGGGCATAATGTGCTAAATGAAATGTTCAGTATGAACCTATTTCAGATCATCTTATTTTTATAGTCAAAAGAACAGGGTAGTCACACCTTTGTTGTGATAGTTGTTTAAATTCGTGGTGATGGTAGTTAAATGCTGTGGTGTGGGTTCCGACCATAGCGACCCTGTACAGGGTTTCCGAGGCTGTAAATCTTTATGGGAGAAGAAAGCCTCATCTTTCGTCTTTGGAGCAGCTGGTAGTTTCAAACTGCTGACCCTGAAGTTAGCAGTCTGATTTGTAACCACTATGCTACCAGAGCTCCTTAAATTCATGGTACTAGATGATTATTTCTATTATCTTGTGGCGTAGTACATGCAATAAAACAGCTTTGTGCTATCTTTTCACTGCATTTTTTTATCAACACAAAGTACTCATTTGTGTCCAAAGATAAATAAGATATGGTGGCTGCTGGGTAATCCCTGCTGTCTCATCTGTATGAATGAAAGGAATTATCATCTCCTTCTATCTTACGTGTTGGGGACATAGAACAGGAGCTTTTCTAGAGAGTTGGGGAAGCTTCACAGAGTAGATAACTTTTAAAGAATGGTGAAAATATATTTAATGGAATTCGTTTTGAATTCTTAGTTACCTGTGTTGTTTGTGTAATTTTCTAATCCATTGAGGTGTTGTGCCTTGTGGTAATTAAATATTATTTTTAGGAATGTCAGTAGTAGAGCCAGACTGCTAGGTGCTAGGTTCAAATCTCAGTACTGACTTTTATTAGCTATGTATCTTTTTGTCTTGGTACTTAATTTATGTCCACAGTTTGTCTTTGAGAAGAGGATAGTATTTTACTAACCCATAGGGTTTCTCTGATAATTAAATGAATCAGAAGTACTGGTGTGGCACTGTAGGATAAGCAATGGACTGCTTACTTCAAGGTTGATGGTTCAAACCCACCAGCTACTCCAGTAATCCTGTACAGGATCTTTGTGAGTTGGAACTGACTCAGTGGCATTTAACTACAACAATCTGTAGCGTTTCTCTGATAATTAGATGAATAGGGAGTCTTGGTATGGCACTGTAGTCTAAGCACTGGACTGCTAACTACAAGGTTGGTGGTTCACACCCACCAGCCGCTCCTCAGATACCCTATGCAGGGTCGTTATATGTACAGAAAAGTGCAGGATTGGCGCTTGTACAAACTTGAGAGTGAGTGCCTCTTTGAATTTTGTACTGCAGGTATTTTTATTTTTTTTTAAAAAATTTTTTATTTTTTTTTTTCACAAA